TCTGCAAATTGCCTCAATCTCTAGAGAAAGTTGAGACAGCCTGGCTTAAAGCACTGTTGTTTATTGAGCACTGTCTGGCAGGGGTCGGGGTAGAAAAGTTCTGTGAAACTGACAGTCTCTGTGGGCTTGATTTTCTTTCGAAAGAGGGAGAAACAACACCTTGGGGGCTATAGTGTCCAGTCCTTATTCAGAGAAATGTAGCTCTTTTCTGCTTTAGAGCCTTGGTGGATGTACACCCGAGCCTGCTCAGAGCTGAGTGGAGCTGATGGGAGCGGGGGCTGCCTCTGTCCTCCATTGCAGGCTCCAGCTCTAGGTGAGTCCAGGGCTGGCCATCGTGGGTTTGCAGCACATCCTTCTCAATATTCCACAGCAGCTGTCTGGAGTTTTTTCTGCTGTGCCTGAACTGATGTCATTTCCCCCTTGGCAGACAGCTTCGGCTTTGCTGCGTCTGAGATATGTCACGAGAAGGTGGGGGTGGGTCGGAGCCAGGCGGGGGGAGTAGTGAGGAGAGCAGGAGGGAGAGTGCCTGCTTGGTCCCAAGACTCTGTTTACTGTGTCTGCTTTGCTAAGGAAGGCCGCTTAACTGGGACCTCCAGGGGAAATGCTCATTCTAAGACTTTAACTTTTCCAAGCCTTTTGTTGCAAACGTTAGTGTGGACGATGCTCTTGCAGGATGCCTTTCCTTTTGGGTCTTAGACAGGTAATTGAACTGGTTGTATGTGGATCGGGTCGGGAAGGGAAGAAGGGTGGGAGCTTGTTTATGGTACTACTGCTTTGGGTGGAGGGAACCTTTTAGAAAATGTCTCGCAGTTATAACAGGCCAGCTCCCATACAGAAATTTCCAGTCTCCTCTTGTTTGCTAGTTGCTCCTTACTTCCAGAGCCCCCATATTCTTAACCCCCTACATCCCTGAGGTCTCTATGGGACCGTCCTTTCTGATTTTCCATTAAACACCATAAAGCTATTTCCAGAGCTTTATGGAGGAAACAGTTGAGGTGGGAGGCGGGGGAGGGTGAGAGGCAGAGTGGGATTCTTGATCAAAACCCTTTTTATTCTCCATTTTGATTTAGCTAGTTAGTAGAGATTTTTTTTCACAGTCCTCTGGTTCTAAAGAGATTCTAAGTGGGGAGAGGGGAGCTTCTTTTAAAGGGAAAGGCTCCCAAAGTCTTTTTCTTTTTAAGCATGTGGTCAGGGTTATATGGCTGATGGACGTCCTGGACACCTCAGAGGGATAGGGGTGGGATTGGCCACATTTTGGCCCTGCTGACCGATCTTTCAAAGCCAATAGACCCCTGTGGCTGAGACTTGATTGCTTTTCGAGCCACCGTTTGAAGTAGGGACACTAGTGTGGGACGAGAAAACAGTAGCGAGTGACCAACTGCTGTCTGCTACGAACACAGCTGTTGCCAACTATTTGTTCCAGGGCTTCTGAGAGTTGGCCATCCCCACCCCCTCTTTGGTCTGAAAGGCTTGTCTGTATCGGAATGCGTAACTGTAACCAGCAGCGGCTGTGCGAGGGGGTGGGGAGGGACACACACCCTCTGCTGCCTGTTCCTGGGTGAGGAAAAGCCACAGATGAGATCAAACCTTAGAGAGTTGCTGCTAGGGACTGCTGGTTTGATTTCTCAGAAGAGTGCTAGGTGAGCAAGTCTTTCTTGGGTTGCCCGAAATTCCTTAAAAGTAAGCTTCTCTGGGAAGCTCCGCGCGTTGCTTTACTGCTCTGGTTAATCTTCATTGTTCCTTTGATGCAGAGTGGGGGCTCCATTTGAGCATTTCCTCTGTCGCCCAAGAAAGGCTGTCCTTTTAACCTGTGGGCAGATGAGCCCTGGAAAGGATTTTGAGCAGCGTTGGAAATAGTATGGTTGAAGCAACCCATGCTTTGTCAGATGGCAGAGGAGAGTGCCTGATACAGTGGAAAGAGCAGAGCTTGAGGAGCCGGAAATACCTGCACCCATATCCTGGCTCCCCCAGGGTCTTGAGCAGGCCACCTAACTGCTCCGAACCTCATCTTTGAAATGGAAATAATAAGACCTACTCAGTTATCGGGACGATTTCACAAAAGAATGTATTTAAAATAGCACCTTGGCTGGCTGAGAGTAGGCCTGTAGTAAAAATATAGCTGTTATGCCCACATTCCTAAAGGGGGCAAGACTGCAGGGGCACAGGAAACTGGAAGCTAGAGGGATAGCCTCCTTTTCAGAGTTGGAGGGTGTCGTGGGCAAGAGCTCCTGCACCTGTCATCTGGTTACTACCCATTGTGCCTTGACTGCGAGTTGGGAGGCTGTCACTTACTGTACAAATATACTATTAATCTCATGTATTGAGGAGGGCCTGTGGTCCAGTAACCTCCACTCAGTTAAGTGAGAGGAGGGCTGGTTGTCATGGGGGGCATCTCAGAGGATCAGCAGTACGTGAACCTTGAGCTCATTTTTCTGATCAGTTTCCTGGTAGAAGGCTGAACTAGAGGACCTAAGCGTCTGTGATTCAAGCTTTGCATTTAAAAAAAAACAAACCTTTGAGTATTTTGGTTACATGATTTTGTATATTTCTAGCATTTCTGTGGCTTACAGTGTAACTAATGTTCTTTATTGGACCTATGTCAAAACCTGCCTTCTGAAGATTACTTGATGATAATTCTGTTTTTTAAAAAATGACACAAAAATATATGCTATTAGTGTTTATCATATATAATATGTGTTTTATATATTTTTTCCCTCTTAATTCACATAACTAACAGTTGTGCTTTATATGGTAGTGGGATTCTGTTTCTATAGAAGCGCATGCAGAGGATTAACAGAAGTTAAGCCACTTTCCCAAAGTTGCTCAGCTAGTTAGGGAAATGGTAGTTGAAGTGTTTTTTTGGTTTGTTTCTTTTTAACCTTGGTCTTTTGATTAAAAAGCCTGAAAATTCCCTCACTACCCAAACTGCTTTGCCCAATGTCTGTGAGAGTGGAATAGGTTAATGTGTTTTTCCAGTCGGGGTGTCTTTTCTGAAGGTTGTTCCTAAATGGCCCAGGGACCAGATAAGACATTACTTGTCTGTGAACATTTGCATTTTACTCTGTGAAGACTGTCACGCAGACACCATCTACTGAATAATGCCACTGTATGGAGATTTTGAATACTTAATGAATGTGAGCCTGGCACAAAGGATGGAAAGACAAATAAATCTTTACTTCCTGGGAGCTCATACTCTAATGATGGAGTTCTCAAAATGCATACAAATCACCTGGGAGTGAGGCTTATTAAAATGTAAATTCAGTAAATCTTGGGCCTGGGGTCCAGGAATATCCATTTCTATGAAGTTCCCCAGGTGGTTCAGACTCAGTTTCTGGTTGCACTTTGAGAGACTCACTGCGCCACGCCTGCCCCCGCCCCACCTTTTGTAGCAAGGAAATAATTACTTAACAATGGTGAGACTAGCTGAGGAATCCCCAGGGACTAGGACTGCAGAGGGTAGGAAGGCAACTAAATCAGGTTGGGGGAGGGGAGGTGGCATAGAAGGCTTTCATGAGAAGGTGCTATCTGATCTGAATCTTAAAGGATGAGTAGGAGATTACCAGACATATGAGCTGGGGGAAGAGCATTCTAGACGGATCAGGTTGGGAGTGTTTTTGTTTTCTTCTGTGAATGAGAAAGGAAACTGTCATCTGTGAATGTTGGTGTTAAGGACCTTAGCTCACCAAATATTGGTGTCCTTTATGACACAGAAGGAGGAATGCATTAGGGCCCTTCAGTCTAATGCATTGGCATGAATTCAGTGTCTGTAAAGGGCAGATAGACCTGTAGCTTCCAGTGAAGTGTCTTAATTGTCCTTTGCATTATAGAACTACTACAGCCTTGACTAAGGAATAGTCTTTTACTTAAAGGAACTAAAGTTCAGAAGAGAGTCCACTGCTGAACTTTTTGGGAATGGCACCATGTACCAGATTTTAGGTAAAACACAGTTGAGCATGCTGTTCCTTTATTATCTGGCAAGATCAGAAAATGAGTTTCCTGGTTAAGAGAGAATCCATCATGTATACCTAACAGATGGATTACTGATTTCCAGAGAACACGATGGCAATAGAATGTTCTTCTGCTGATTTGAATGAATTCAATTTCCCGTTTGATTCAGAAGCCATCGCTTTTGTAATGCTAGAGGATTCTTATGACCAACATTATCTGAAAAGTTTTGTGCACCTGTTCAAGGCATGTTGTGGATACACAGAGGTATAAACCCTCCCTCTGCCCTCAAAGAGTTTACAGTGAGGTGGGGGACACAGAACAAGTACACAGGCAATGGAACATTTGCAGGTGGTCCTGAGTGACGTTAGAGGGAATCAGAGCGCTGCAGGAATTCAGAGGAGCGAAGAGATGGCTTTCTGCAGGTGGCCCTTTCCAGAATCCGATAATCTCAGTTGTTGCACTGTGGGTGTGTGGAAAGACCAGTTGATGATAACTTCTCGTCTATGAAATGCAGGCTAGATCTGTCAAGACAGTATTTTATATCTCGCACCTTGGAATGTTGCCTTTCTCTGTGGAAGGGGCCCACTTGTCCCTTAAGTTGTCCTTACACGATAAAGTAAGATGATCCCTGATACTGGAAATGAGTAGTCTCCAACAAAACTGAGGTGGATCTGGGACCCTCTTGGGCATTTTGCCCTTGCCACATTAGAATTTGTCATGGATAGGGACATAAGGGACTAGCTCCTGGCCCAAGGAGCTGTTTGCATTCTTGAAAGGGGGAGCTGGTACCTACAGGCCCTTGATAGGCCTGATGCTGGATGTCCGGGCAACCAGAGTGTTGAACCTCAGTTACTCCCTGGGCATAGTAAGAGACCTCAGGGTCTTACAAGGACAACACTGAAAATGCTATGGTGATAGCCAGCCTGAAGCTGCAAGGTGGGAGCCATGACTAGGGAGAGGGAAGAGGGAATTTGCCAACTTTTAATTGAACCCCTGAACTGCTGAATATTAGCCAACATTTACATGATACTTTTATTATTTCATCACGACAGCCATCCATGAGGTAGGAGGTCTTATCTCCTTTATACTGTGAGGAAACCGAAACTCAACGAGTTGTCTATTCAGAATCACACAGGTAATGTATGACCCTGGTGGCTCTGGGGCCAGGTCTTCTCAGTGTTGTCCTGCTCATGCATATCGCTCTGGTATGGTACCTGCATCAGAGGCTGCTGCCAGACCTCCTGCAGAGGACCAGGTGTTGACTTCCAGTCACAATTACCCTCCTGTGTGTGTTTAGCCTCTCTCTCCAGGTTCAGGACAAATTAAGCAAGACCTTTCTTGGAAGAAAACTGGCTGTGTATAATGCAGCACACACCAAGGTGACACTGTTTGTACTACCTGAGATTGAAGCCACAATGCTTATCGGAACTGATTTGTAAGAGTCTTGCGACAGCGCCATAAAACACCTCATTTCCCTACTGTCCCCTAAAGGTGAGAAAGGGTGGTTGTTATCTAAGCCCTTTCAGGTGAATTTTTAAACTGCCAACCATCTCTGTTGCAAGAAGCTGCTTTTTTTTAGAGGAATGTGGCTTGTTTTTCATCACATTCCTGTTATCAAAGCAAAGAGAAACCAGTAGACTGCACAGTAATTTAGTGGAAAAGAAGATTCTATCTGCTGATTTTGAAACTTTTATCCAGGATGGAGCCAAAGAAAACATTCACTTCCTCCAGTGACATCCCATGAGTTTGATCCACCCCCTCCCACCCCTTTTCCTTGAAGAGGTAAATTTTGGTTCAGAAAAACAGAATAATGTTGGGTTACTTAAAAAACTGGGCTGTTTACTTGAAACTAATAATAAAATAAAATGCTTAAAATTCCTTCTCCTGCCCTAACTCCCTACCAGCCAGATACTAGTTTCTTAACTCCTTGACTCTTCTTGACTCTGTGCTAATTTGTAGTTGAAACAGCCCTGCAGGTTGACTTGCTTTAGCTATTTCTGTGCCCGTCTGTAGCCATTACTTTCCTGGGAAGGACTCAACTGGTCGTGAACCCTGGACCTCACAAAAGCCCTCTGTTGCTGGCTGCTAGAAATGATGGTTCAGTCTTAGGTGATTTGCTTGACCTCTCTTGTTCTTTTAGCTGAAACAGAGGCGAAACAGTGGTGGAAAACAGTATGCATTTCAGGAGAGAGACAGGCTTTGAGAATGGCTAGAGTGTGAGACAGTGACTGCTCTTCCTGAAAGTGGCTTAGGGTTTGCTGCAACTGCGTCACACATAAGACATTGGTTCCCTTGGGCACTGTGTTAAGGAGGCCAGAATATTTATTATTGTTTGGTTCTCTTGCTTAACACATCCTCTCAGGAGCTTCCACTGAACTGTGACACATGATTTTATTCTTGGTTTCAAATACTGCCCAACTTATCGTGTGGTTATTCATCAAGTGTTTGGAAATCCCTGGTTACCCACCAGGCTTGGGTTGAATACCTGTGACTTCCCACTCCTCTAGAGTGTGGTGGGGAGGTCCGGGATAGCCTGGGGCAGGCTGCCAACAAAAATAGAATGTGCAATCACTCCCCCGTCTCTGGGTGTAGTTCCAAATTTACGGGCCAGGCTCGGATCGTCCTGGTTTACTGTAAACCTGTCATGACCAGAGAGCCGTAAGTAGGTCTCTCAGTGGTCATGCAAAATCACATCGCTACAGTTTCTTCCTATCGCTTTTAGGCTTTTAAGCACAGGGAACATGGGGCAAGACTAGTTTCTGGGATTATTTGATGGTCAGTAACCAGGACCAGTACTTTCTGAAGATTTTTTGCATGTCTGATCCTTTGCTAGGGTAGGTGCACTTGAGAGATTGACATCAATCCTGCTTTGGGGGAATTTACAGAGTAGTTGGTGAGCCCAAGAGGCAACAAGGCCTGTTATTAAACAGGCAACAAGACTGAATGGAACACGATTCTGCACTAAACTGTGTGGTATGATTTGATGGGAACAGTGATTCTAAACTAGGGGCAGTTGTGCTCCTGTCTCTAGGGGACGTCGGGTAATGTTTGGACATAGTTAGTTGTCAAAACTAGAGGGGTGGGGTGTTGTGACTGGCACCTATCGTGTAAAGCCAGGGATGCTGCTAATAAACATCCTACAGTATGCAGGACAGACGTCACAACAAAGAATGATCTGGCTCCAAACGTCAGTGGTGCCAAGGTGGACAAACTCTGGGCCGGAAGCTACTGATCTGTGGTGCAGTCCACTCTGCTTAGCAAGCAGTCATAGAAGTCACAGGCCTCAGAGAAGGTGGAATGTTTTGATAAAGAGGAAAGAGGTGTACTTTTTTTTTTGCTGCTGCATTCTAAGCATTACGTATTAGTTACCTGCCCAGATATTTAGAATTGTGACATCTTGGTCACCCCTAATCAGCAGGTACTATGTCTTGTCAAGGACAGAGAGAGAGTTAATTTTTTATGGTCAATAGATAAGATCCAGCCCTTCTGGAACTAACATTTTATCTCTTTTCATCTGGGTAAGCACTTCCCAGAACGATAGGCTCTCAGTAGTGTCCAAATAACTATACAGCTTAAAGAACAATTAGGCTCCTTATTTTAATAACAAGCCATATTTCAAGCCAAGAGCCTATTGCTGTGGCAATCTTTAAGTATGAGGCCGTAGATTCAGAAAGTTTTTTAAAGTTATTATTCAGAGTCTTTTGGAGATGGAGCCCCTGGATTCTGGAGATTTTTTTTTTTTTTTAAATTTTGTATCTGTTTATAGGGAGACCTCCCCCGTGCCCTCCACCCCCAGTTTTTAAAACAAGTTCTGCCTAGTTTTATTAAAGAAAAAATTTGCATGATTTACTTCTCACCAGTCTGTTCTGGCATGCTTCTAATGCTATCAGAATCACCTGGATCAATGATAGTGTGCATGCTCTGTCATATTTTCCACACTCTGTGCCCAATTCAATATTATCACCACTGTAGTGAATGAACACCAATCTTGGCCAACATGGCGTAGTACTCTATTTCAGATCTCCTCAAGGCTGGGCAGTTGCTGGCGAAGATGACTAGTTTTGCTTTGCCTCGTCTGATCGTTTCCAGAGCCTGTTTGTACCCCAGCACGTACTTTGCACTTTTCATAACAAGTTGGAGCCTACAGTTGATGAACTCCAGGGACTTTTTCATCTTTTTTTGCGGCCACCATTTTCCTGCCTTAGGTGTGGGATGGCCCCCAACCAAAAGCAGCCACCCTATGGAGACCATTTTTAATGTTACCCTTGGTCCTAGGTGGAATTAAACCGTTTCTTTGAATAGTATTGAACTTTTATTGCAATAGATCTCTGATACTGGTCTCTAGATGAACAGGCACACAAAACAAGTGCCATTATTATTTCTTTGGCTCCCAACCAAAGCCTGCTACAGGGGGATAGAACTCCTGAGAAAAAATGGGGTTAAATTTAGGAATTTTGCTTAAAATGAAGAATATGTCCCTGAGACCCCATATATCTGCTCTTCACTGTCAGATAAAACTGTGGTGAATCTCTTTTAAAGCAGATCAACAAATTAACTTGTACCTTCGATATTTCAGATCCCTTTGAAAACTGTTCCTCTTTCTGGGCCAAGCGAGTATTTGATTTGATCAAGAGCCATTTTCAGGATATAACAAAGACTTTGATGATCTAAAATGCAGTCATAGAAAGGCTATTGAACCTAAAGTCAGAAGACCAGGATTTTGACAGCCCCAGTTCTGTCACCTGCAACCTTAGGCTAAGTGTCAGGTCCTTATCCATAAGATGAGGGTAAACTTTTCCTTTTAACCTAACAGCTAAGTTATTGCAAAGTTCCTCAAAGGTAAAGTCCATATCTTATCTATCTGTTGTTTTTGTTTGTTTATTTTTGTTTTTGTTTGTTTGTTGTTGGGTTTTTTTTTTTTGGTGCCTGTTAGCATCTAGCATGAAAGTTTAGGATAACTGCTAAGCATTAAATTCTTTCTACTCAAATTTGGGCTTTAGCTCCAGAAAACTTGTTTTAAACTGTGTGAGTGCTCTGAACCTCGGGTTCCTATTAAAAGGGGGAATATATAACATAGATAAAAAAGCCCAGCCAAATACTCGATAAACACAGTCGCTGGGCAGAACTTGGTTCTCTCTTTTTTTAATTTATTTTTTATTTTTTACATTTTAGTTTCAAGTATACAGAACATTAGTTAGACAACTATTTATCTTGTAAAATGATCCCCACAATTGTTCCCTCACTCCTGACCCTCCACCTAGCCAACGTATTAATGCTAACTGCATTCCCTATGCCATGCTCCCCATCCCCATGACCATCAGCTACTAATTTGTACTTCTTTAACCCTTCACCCCATTCTCCCAGCTCCCCAAACCCCCTCCCCTCTGTCTGTCTGCAAATTGTCTACTATATTTGTGAGTCTGTTTTTGAGTACTTTGTTCTTTTTATTCTTTAGATTCTACATATAAGTGAAATCATAGTGTTTATCTTTCTCTCTCTGTCTTAACTACCTTCTAGTTCCATCAAAGCAATATCTTTTTCCATCCCCTTCCTTTTCATATGTAGGGGTCTTGTTTTCTTATCCTTTCAGCCACTCTATCTTTTGGTTGGAGCACTTAATTCTTTTCTATTTAAGGTACTTATTGATAGGAATGTAGTTGTTACCATTCTTTATTCCTGTTTTTGATACATGTTTTTTCTTCTTAAAGAAGTCCCTTCGACATTTCCTGTAATACTGGCTTGGTGGTGATAAATTCCTTTAGCTTATATTTGTCTGGGAAGCTCTATCTATTCTTCAACTCTAAATGATAGCTTTGCTGGATAAAGTATCCTTGGTTGTTTATCCTAGGTCTTAATCCTGTCGAATGTTTTTGCCAAGCCCTTCTGTCCTGCATAGTTTCTTTTGAGAAATCAGCTGCCAGTCTTATGGGTGTTCCCTTATAAGTAATTATTTGTTTTTCTCTTGCTGCTTTTAATATTCTTTCTTTGTATTTAACCTTTGCCATTTTAATTATAATGTGTCTTGGTATTATGGGCCTCTTTGGATCCCTGATTTTTGGAATTCTCTAAGCTTCCTGGGGTTTTATGTGCATTTCTTTCACCCGGTTAGGGAAGTTTTCCATCATTATTTCTTCAAACAGCTGTTCAACATCTTGATTTTCTTCAGGTATGCCAATCAGATGGATATTTGGAGCTTAAATAGTGTTCCATATCTTCCTTAAATTGTTTTTATAGCCTTCGCATCTTTTTTCTTGCCGTTCTGCTTAAGTGTCCTGATTGGTTTCCCTGTCTTCTAGATAGGGTATTTGATCTTCTTCTTTATTCACTTTATTTATTCCTTTGCTTATTCCATTTAATATATCTCTAATCTCAGATAATGTGTTCTTCATTTCAGACTGGTTCCCTTTTATAATTTCCATTTCCATTTTTATGTTTTTTATCTCTTTGTTGAAGTTCTCACTGAATTTATTATCTACACTTCTCAAAAGTTCATCGAGCATCTTTATAACCAGTGTTTTGAACTCTGCATCTATTATATTACTTGACTCCATTATGTCTGGATCTCTGTTCTCTTCTCTCATATAGTTTCTGCTTCTTTGTCTTCCCATTTTGGCTGCCTTTCCGTGTCTGTTTCTATGTACTAAGCAAAGCTCCTAAGTCTCCTGGTCTCAGTGTGGGTTTGTGAAGTAGGTGTCCAGTGGCACAGTCCTTAGCCCAAGCTTGTGCCCTCTGGAGCCACCTGGTAAGATTCAGCAAGCAATCCACAGATGCTGTGTTAATAG